CTCTCGAACCGATGAAAATAAAAAGGCTGATTTTCTTGCAAACCATGTAAACCGATGCTAAACGCTGCTGACAACATTCTTGGTCACCGGGTGATGAGAAAAATACTTGACCGTGACAAGCTTTTGGAAAAAGTCAAAGTTTTGAAACCGTGATTGTTTCTTTTAAAATTAAAGGCCGTGGTCCATGCAGTGTGTACATGAAGCGGCAAGTGTTTCTGTGCAGTTACTTCAAAACGATGGAAAACGATGTAACAAGTTGCTGACTATGTTCATAATCACGGAGTAATGGAAAACAATTCGACCGTAACCACTTTTTTCGAAGGAAGTCAACTTTTTGGAAAGATCATTTTTGTTACAAAATGAAAGGTGGTGCTTAATGTAGTGCGTGAATGAAGCCGGAAAATATTTATGTGCATATGTATAGTTTTTAGAGCAATTGCATATGTTTGCGGGATTTCTATTTTTTTCTCTCAAATAACTCCAAATATAAGCAAATTAAAAAAATCGACTTTCACCATCGTGTTCGCCGTGTAATTACACGACCATTAATGTATTCTACAATGAGATTGCATTTCTTTGAAGATATACCATTTTTGGTGCCCGCAAATATTCCAAGGTTTCGCTTCTCAAGCCACATCCGTTCGAAATCAGATTGCACTTGCAAACCATACACAAGGATGTTATTCACCACGGCCACTTTGGTGCGGAAAAAATAAAATTATGAAACAGTATCTGAAATGAGAGCCAAAAGGAATGTCAGTGTGTGTGTGTGTGTGTGTGTGTGTGTGTGTGTGTGTGTGTGTGTGTGTGTGTGTGTGTGTGTGTGTGTGTGTGTGTGTGTTGTGTGTGTGTGTGTGTGTGTGTGTGTGTGTGTGTGTGTGTGTGTGTGTGTGTGTGTGTGTGTGTGTGTGTGTGTGTGTGTGTGTGTGTGTGTGTGTGTGTGTGTGTGTGTGTGTGTGTGTGTGTGTGTGTGAGCGGGAGCATGGTTTCTCTCGGTTCATGCTTTTTACACAACATAACCATTTTTGGACATGATCCCACGTTGGTGGTATCTAAATCAAAACCGATCAGCAAAAGACAGGTTAGGTCACACCTTCGCATAGGCAAGGCCATTCTGCGTGCAAACAGGTTTAGTGCAGCACATTGACAGCATATATAAACGGCTGATTTTTGGGACGTAAAAGAGACTAAGGTCATATCTCGAACCAGTGAAAATAGGATTCTGATCTTACCTGCAAACCACGTAAAACATTGTCAGAGCTTGTTCACTACTTTCTTCATGACCGGTTTATCAGAAAAAATTTGATTGTGACCGTTTGTTCTAAAAATCCTAAACTTTTAACGTAACATTTTTGATATAAATCGAAAGTCCCTGATCCATTTAGTGTGTGCATGAAGCGGCAAGTGTTTCTGTGCATGCAAACAGTTTCTAGAGCAATTACAAATGGTACCGTGGTTTCTGAAGGTTTCCTTTTTTAACTCCAACTTTCAAGCGACACAGCGCTGTTACAAATATTCATCACCATTTTTGTCATCATGTGATTGTACACAAATCTCTCCACGGCCACCATGTTGCGAATAAAGTTAAAATCTTGACCCGTATGATTTTTGGTGAAAATGAAAGCCAAAGAGTTGCTTAAATGTGTGTACCAAGCGGGAGCATGTTTTGTCCCAGTTTACGCTTTGTACCAGGATTTAAAAACGACTGAATTTTGGGTCGTAGAATAGTCTAAGCTCATAGCTCTCGCACCAACAAGAATGAAAGGCTGTTTTTCCTTGCGAACGACGTAAAACGTTGTTACAAGGTGTTAATTACGTTCTTGTTCAACGGGTGATGAGCATATTTGATCGTGACTATTTTTCCTAAAAAACAGCTTTTTACATGGAATTTTGTGTTATAAAATGAAAAATCTTCATCCATCTAGTGTGTATATCAAGCGGCAAGTGTTTCTGTGCAAGTAGACAGTTTCTAGAGCAATTGCAACTTGCAGAGGGGCTTCTAAACGTTTTTTTTTTCATTTAACTCGAGAACTAGGCATGTGAGAAAACTTCAATTTAAATAGTGTATTGCACGCGGGATTACGCGTCTAAAAATGTACAATACAATGAGATTCCACCAGTTTAAATAGGGATCGTTTTTGGCGCGTGCAAATTCCATAGCTTTGTTTCTGCAACCAGCTCCGTTCGACAGCAGGCTGCACTTGTAAACGATACACAATGATGTTAAATGATATCGGAAGGCAACACAGATCTCACTACGATCCTTTTCGTGCGTGCATGAAGCGCAGGACCTCGCATAACATCTTAACTGGGGGGGGGGGGGGCGAATGCCCCCGCGGTGACCGAAATCCCCCCCCCCCCCCAGTGAACGCATTTTGCCCCCATAGTGGGAGATCACATACAGATAAGCAAGAACCGGCAATGCACTGTCTCAGCAGAGAAATCAGCCATGGGGAACATGCCTGAAGCTCACAAGCATGAACGACGACGTTATCATATTTATAGTTTTTCACAGCGTCTTTTTTCCTACCATGGTAACTTCTTGGCAGCCAGCGGTTTCTTTACGAATAAGGCGCGATTAATCCATGCAAGTGATCACAAGTCTTGCCGCGGCCACTTTGATGCAAAAAAAACATCAATTTCATAAACGGGCGATTCTTCGACCCATATGAGGGCCAATATGAAATTCAGCACACGTACAAGTCGGATGCATGTTCAAATTGAAAACGGCCGTTTCTTGGGTAGTAAAATGTTCCAACCTCATATCTAACGAACCAATGGAAATAGAAGGGTGCTTTGACTTGCAAACGATGTAAGCCGATGTTGTCACTTCTTGACCACATTTTTTAGAAGTATATCCCTCGTTCCTCTCTTCAGAAAGATACAGGAACGGGTTGCATATGATGAGGTGTTCCGCCACGTCTTGCCTGTGTTGTGCCATCATCAGCATGGGTACATTCTTAGGCGTTCGGGCAGCAAGCACTTTAATGTTTACAATAAAAAATCGGCTCGGGAGGCCATCTCGGACGGATACCAGACTGATCATTCGGCTGCTTTTCAGAGCTGGTGAGGCATTCCACGAAAAATCGACAAGTGCCTTACACCCTCATCCCTCAGACTTTGATTAAAATGGTCTCAGGGGATGCCATCAGCACTGAATTCGACTGTGACATTTTAAAATCGCTCAGCTGCACCGTCTCGGAGTTACAGCCTTCGACAAGTGCCATTTACCTTGTTGCAATGCTACCTTCGGTAGCAATTTTTTCACTTACTAGAAATATAGTTTGGCAAATCCGTACCTTGAAATGATTAGAAAACTGTCGTGAATAGTTGGGTGTCAATCTTCAAATTGTCAATGCACAAAGTAATAGTTAGGACATTATGAGGTTTTGCAAGGCGCAAAGAAAAATTTTCACATGTGATATTGATCTTTTCCTCATTTCGTGTCAAAAAGCGTAGTTTGGTCCTCAAAGTCCAAAAGAGTCGGTTATCCCCTTGGAAAGATATGGACCATGTATCGACACAGCATGCGTAACGCACGAAGACTGGGCATGCGACGCGCCGCCTCAGCCGGCTGCCCCTTTTCCCCTCATGGCCCGCTTGATCTGTTGTTACCACGATTGTCAGCTGGAATGCGTGACCTTAGACGTACTGACGGATCGTTCAACGTGTGGGCTGACGAGGAAGTCTTTTTAACTTTACCTTCCTTTTTTTCCTTTACCTTTCAACTACTTAAGACCAGGTGCTAATTCTGGATTACCGTCGACCATGACATACTAGCTGTGAAGCTGTGTTTAAACGTGCGCATTCTGCTCCGATATTAACATCACCTCTCCCATCCGTAAGTTGAGTGCATTTTCCCATTCCCATCTCGTTCCGACTTCTTCCCTTCTTATTTTAATGTTCACTTATTTTTTGTGCGGAAACGGTCTATCGATCCTTCACTGTTACCTGTGCTAGCATGAAGCCCGTCATTTCATTGAATTCCCGCTTGTGCCAATGTTCGAGACCCGTGGCGTTTCGTTCCTGTTCTCCATCTTTTACGAGTACTCCAAAGCTATTCATTTACAGAGACGGCACCCACACACCACACCAGTCGCTTTCACTCACCTTTTCATAGTTACTCTTGGCAGTTGAATTCACTTCTGATCTTTCCTACGTTGCATCCCACAAAAATTACATACAAGTTCCCCCACCCCTCCTGATGTACTCGACAATGCAAGTGCTACCAAGTCAAACTTCCGTTTCTTTGTAAGAGTGATCTCTTAATCTGTGAACACCTTTTTTACATGCTGACGGGCTGACTCAGCCGGCGCGTGACGTCACGTACCAATTTACTTTGTGGTCACGTGATGTGACGTAGGGCGAATACTGGGCTGTGATTGGCGTTGACATATGTGCTGACGGCAGATCGAACGCGGCTCATGCACACTACCGGAACCGGGGTAACTGTGGCAGCGGGGGGGGGGGGGGGGTTAGGAGATGAGTGCATACTGCGAGGGTGGTGTAGTCTCGCTCATTTGGTACGGCTCAGAAGTCAGACAAGGATCCAGTGATAGGGCCTGGGGTGAGTGCCGTCTGCGTGGCTGGAGCACGTAGTCGTAACTCTTACGAGAGTGACGTCTCAGCAGCCCCAGTGGTGCCGATTCATTTGGGAACTCCAAAACAGAGCATGACGAGGTTTAAAGGGAGTATCCAACCTTCTTTGTTCTTTCACTTAAAGGGAATGTTACGCATTTCAAGATATTGAGATAAGCACCAGATATGATGGGAAAAGCTTACTTGTAACTATTGGTAAGTTTTCAAGGCTCAAAAGCGACTCTAAGTAGCAAAATTTCTAAGTTTGCAAAAAAGTGTCCCATTACGTTACCGTTTGGTGGCGTCATGGAATGGTTTTGTGACGACAGCAGTACTTGGCAACATCTGGCAGCCAAACCTAAAGAAAACCTCGAAAGGCGCTAAAGCTGACGCCCGCCGGCCATTCTGGTGGCGAGGTTTGTGTGGGTGGCCAGCAAGGTGGCCAGCCAGTGAATGGTTTGGCCGCGAATTTTTGTCTTTGCACTGGTCGTAGGACAAGCTTTGGTGGGCAGTTTGACATGCGCAACCATTGACCTACAACAGACTAGACAAACTTCTCGACTTAACAAAACACGCCGCCCGGCAACGTCGTGGAAGGGAAAGCGTTTTTCTGCGGCGCTTACCAACCATTGGAACTGCTATACGCGGACGTTTCGTGATGCCGTATGGGGCGTGAATATGACGAGAAGCTGCTCTGCGATCGGGTGTAGTAAGAGGCAGGGTGATCGGCCTAGACGTGGAGATAGCTCGTCATTCCACAAGTATTTTTGAGATCGATCGTGCATAAATTAGTGGTTTTTTTGTGTGCAGGTCTGCGCCATGACTGTCAACCTGCGCATTTGCTGGTAATCAAGGTCGAGATATGAAGCTATCTCTTTAATTTGTTTTGCTCAGACACGCTGTGTGCTTTCCTACTATTATCTAAGCATTTTATCACGACTGAACCCAGCTGCATCCACCTTTAGGATACTAAATATGCATGTTGGCAAGTGGGTAGGTGGAATGAAGAACATTTAAAAACCAGATGGAAAATACCTATCAAGGATGGGCGATATCAATGTTTGTCACTTATGAAAGGCTTTCATGTGCTATTCAGCACTGATGGGGTGCTGGTATGGCATTGTTATTGCAGTTGCTTCCTTTCAATTGGAAAATAGCACATAATAGCATGCTATTTGCATGGTTAATAGGGCTCACGAGACAAGACTAAGCTGGACAAAACAAGACTTAAACTAGACAGTGAAAACCACTCCTTGTCATGTGATTTTAGGGTAATGACCGACTCAAACCAGTGTCTTGAAATGGCTGGATATTTAAGCTCTGCACTGTAAGAAATCTTTGCAACAGGGTTCAAACTGTACCAAATGCAACATTTTGTAATTCAGTTCAATCTCAGCTAGCAACTCAATTTGTGTTTACTTTTTAGAGTCCAGAATTTAGGCTTTGGCTAAAATTCTCAAAGTAAGAAATTGTGTACAAAACACCTAAAAAATTTGGTACTGCTGGCTTAGGCCTTGCACACTCTGCCGCACCACAGATTTAGTGAATTAACTGGTTGACAGGTGTGACAAAATGCTTTGATTGTCATCATATTGTATATGGAGCTGAACGAAGGTGTTAGAGGTGTTCACAAATGTCGCATGCATTTGCTGATATCAAAATTGCATGACTCACACTAGATTCTGTTGATTGAGACTGTGCCGGGAAGTGAGAGGCCCACACCGGTGATACTCAAATTTCAACTTTACAGACACTGCCTAAGTGTGCAAATTCACATGGAGCTTGTTATGAAGTTGCCTTGCTATTGTTTCAAGGGAATATACAATTAAATTCCAGCTTGCATCCCACTTGCAACTAGAAATTGTCTTTGGAGCACAAAAGCACAAGCAAACATAACCCCATGTAAGGGACATGTTCTGCGCCATTGAAAATGAATGCCACCTAACCACCACCCCAACTCATAAGACGTCTGTAAATTGTGATGGTGCCATGATGACAATTGAAGCAAAAACAGAAATCTGGCAAATTGTGGTATGGTGACAATTGTGATGCATGATTTGCATTTGTTACATAATGCAGGGCAGCGTTCAGATCACTAACGTGACATGGTCATAATGTACATCACAGCCCTGCTGAGTGTAATGCTTGCAAAATGTGGATCAGATAGGATCAAATGGGTGAAAAATGATGTGGAAGGTGCGTGAGGTCCATTTTGAAGACGCGTGTTTTGTTTCTGTTCCAGGTACCCTCATCATGACCCGAAGCTGCTGAGGAAGTGGATTACTGCAACAAAACGTCAGGGAGAAAAGCAAAGGACACGGAAGCCCTCTCGAGAGTGCACTTCTAGGCAGTTACCACTTCATGGAGGCTGATTCTGAGCCATACGGTGAACGCAGAATGCTGCGTGAGGGAAGGATCCCATCATGGTTTAGGTTCCCGGAGCAGACAAAACCAGTGGCACGCAAAAGTCCCCAAAAGCGCGTTAGCCCATGCACAACTCCACCCTAGCCAAAGCATCCCAGGCACCTGCTTCTCGGGCAGCCGCACCAGCCCGTTCCAGAGGAGGCTGCGGCTGTAAGGTGTGTCGACGTGTAAGTCCTGTGCATTAACGTTGTCAATAGTACGGTATATATACTCTGAATAACATGATATACTATGCGCATATCTCGGTGCCTACACAGCTCGCAGGAGTGCCGAGCCGACGGTGCTGGACATAGGTTATATTTTTGTAACGTACCAAATCGAAACATAAGCTCTGGTCTTATCCGAGTGTGGATGTGGACAGATCTGTTCTCTCACGCAGGTGAACAGCACGCATGTAGTGCATACAAAGGGATAACCATGGCCTGAACTCCAGCAACACACCGGGGCAGTTACTTCGCGCATAAACAACGACGTAAGAATGTCCTCCGTCTGCCAACAGGCTGACAGAAATGATGACATTGGCGTCAGTCGGGGTGCCGCCTGCGAAAAGATCCGCGTTTTCCAACGATTTTGGGCCGTCGATCCGACCTGGGTGGACCCCACCTGTCGAATACATTTAAAGCTGGATACAACCGACTAACACTCATGACAATTATCTTACGAGGCTTTGCTTCTGACTATCTCAAGTCGAGGCCACAAGCCAGGGGAGGGTGATACGACTGGCCCCTCTGCTCGCTGGAATGCTGCAAAGGACCACATCCGGATGAGGGTTAAGAACAATTGTTTCCAGCGTTATCGTTATGGCGTCTTTTCTGTCTGAGAGGGACCATCTGTTTTCTTCTGAGACCAGATATCCCGCCCCCCCCCCCCCCCCCGCTCCCACTTCTGCTACGACGCAAAATCGCAAAATCAGTATGCCTAGATCAGTCTATCAAGCCGCTACCCATGCCGTCGGAGCAAACTGCTGTGCCGTATTGCGTAAAGTTGTTGTCTTAAACAGACCCAGAATTTTCAAAGCCCTCGCTCCCATCATTTCCTAATTACACGCCTGCGAAGGTCGGCCATCCGCCATAGGATTATCATTGCGGAGCTAACTCTTGCTCCTCTCCGCGTGGTGGCGCTAGTGTAGCAAGACCGGAACAACCTTCCGGTCGCCACGCCAATGGGAGTAGGCTGTCTAGACTTATATAGCTCAATGTACGCAACGCAGTGATCGCCGGCTTTTATGGTAGATTACTAAGAATCTGCACCATAAAAAGCACGATATGCTATGAAAACCAGTGTCGTGAATCTCTAACCGAAACCTGCCGAGGACTGTTGAAGATGTCAGTACTGAGCTATCCACATGTCCTTGCCTGCAGCGCTGTAGCCGTGGCATTGATATCTTTTGATGTACGCCGTATTTGCTTTCCTTGTTTTTTATAACTGGAAGTGCGGTCACATGCAAAAATTAACAATGAATCCGTAACATTGCTATGAATTGATCACCAAATCATTGTCATTGCTACGGTAAAGATGGTAAGTTGCGCCACCAAGAAAAATTTTCTTACACAGGATTATTTATGCAGTCACTTGTTAGCTCTGATACAATCATCGTGGTGTTATGGCATTCCGGCTCCCAATAGTCCTTTGGCAGCATTGAATCAGCTGTTAAGTCATTTATAAGCTATAAACTGTTTTCTCACAGGCTTGACATAGGCCAGTCAACCAATGTGGTACTTTGTGAAATGGCACTGGTCAACAGTGTCATTGTGGCCTACTCCAGCGCTGTGCAGTGCATGGCATAAAGAACAATGATATGGTTTTTGTACTGCAATCCCCCACTGCTTTGATAATAAGTTCCATCATGAGGAGATGGGTCAATTGCGCATTCTTGTATTAACTCTGCATTTGACATACGACTGATCAAAAACACAGTATACAATATACCAATCACGTTCAGCAAAGCACACAACCAATAAGTGTCTTCACTTGTTCAGCCTGTTTTGTGAATCCCCAAAACGTGGGTAACACATGCAAACATGTCTTTGGAAAAGCACGTTCTGCATCCAACGATAATGAAAACTAGCATTTCACTCCCCAACAAATATCACATGACACTCCACCAGGAGCATCCATCCTTAGTTGACAGTGCCCAACGCCCGCCAGGACGAGCAAAGCGAAGTTAGCTAGTCATGACAAATTTAACTTCTGGACCGGCTGTGCCGGGTGCGGCTGTCCGCCAGGCTCTCTAGACTCTCGTCTGGCCGATGTCCGCGGTACACATTTGGGTGTGCCACACCGCAGTGCTACGACGGACCAGTGATGGTGACCTGCATACGCTTATCCACGATGGCCTCCAGGAGCGGGCGCACGTGCGGAAAGGTATTCGACACCTTCACCGGCCACAGGATGCACTGGTCGGAGACACGGTTGTAGACGCGAGACGTTCTGGAACCATGCAACGAAGTAGAGTCATAACTAATTAACATTGGGATCCATCACTATGGACTTTCGTTGCTGACAACACGCTTCCCAGAAAATAATAATTCCGACAAAAAATACAAAATGAAAACGAGCATAGACACCATATTACAGAAAAAACTTTCACCACTTGGTTACACCAAACGGCCAAATGACGACGTTCTGTAACTCTGACCAGGTCATTTTCCATGAATGAATTTCTGGGATCAATGTATAACATGATAGAACTTGGTATGTGCCTTGAGCACATCTGGTCGCAGGAATACCGTTTGTACGAGACTCATGGCGTTCCTTCATGTGCCACATTGCTCGGCAGAGTCCACCCCGCCCTGACATCAACTGGTCTTGAGCGGCCACTGTCACCGGATGCAGGCCATCCCAGCCATGGGCACAGTAGGGAGCAACACTGCTGTTCCCGCTCACCCACCGCCGCGCGTGCTAAGGCAGACATACGAACTGAGGCGGACAATTGTTACTCGGGGTCACCGCCAGGTGCACAACACCCATTGTGTTTTTGAAGGGTACTCATTGTAATCACAATGTTTTGCTCGTTCTGGGAGAATGAGAAGAACTTTCTGGATTGAGCCCAATCTCTTAAAGGCGCGAAGATGTCACAGCCCGTTAAATACTGCTTTTTACATGATCACAGGGCTACCAACTGTTTCCTAACTACTAGCGACTATCCTGAATACCACAAATAGTCAAACCCATGACTACACATTGCTGTGTTTGCTGTGAAACAGGCGATGTATGTACTGCTGTGCTGGAGTATTCAGTGCGCCCCTTGCAGCGGTCGAGCCACGCAGCGCACCCGCGGGAAACCGCCGGTGACGCCGTGGGGCCGCCCCCCCCCCCCCCCCCCACCCGTCCACGCCCAGCGCCCTAAGGTAGCCGCCGGTGGCGCCACGCGGCCGCTCCCAGTCCGCGCCCAGCGCCCAGGGTCATCCGACGTTGGCGCTGCGCGGCCGCCCCCCCCCCCCCCCCCCCCGTCCGCGCCCAGCGCCCGAGGACAGCCGCCCTCCGTCCGCGCCCAGCGCTCGAGGGCAGCCGCCGGTGGAGGCGGGCGTCAGCGGCGGCAGGCAGGTGTGAAGGCGCTCGGGGTCCATGTAACATCGGCTGGCTCCCTGGTTGCCAGTGAGGTTCTGCAAGCAAAAGATAGCGAGCGGTGGAAGCATCACGGTTCGACTCGGCTTTAGCTTAAGGCTTCAGCTTATGAAGGTCATATGCATTATAAGAGGAGGCTGACCGCAATCCGCAAAGAAATTTACTGAGCCTTAATGACAAGCTGAATACCCATCGCTGCCGTCAACTAGCATTGGCGCTGGCTTGAAATCAACAGTGTTGAAGTTGTTTTGGTCTCACTTGCAGGATCTTTGCTCGGCTCGTATATTACCCCACGACAGTGACGCGCGCACGCGCGAGCGACCGGATTACCACTGCCCCGCGGGTTCGGGCACGAATCAGCTGGTGATCCGTCAACTGATCTGACGGGTCACGTGACCCGGCGCCGGGAGGCCTACATCACAGCAGAAATTGTTACAGTTAGGTTATCAATTGGTCTTAATAAAGAGCGAGACATGCGCATCATTAGAAGACATTACTAACATCGGCGAATAAAACGTCCGTGGTGTACTCGGCATGGCCAAGTGCGCAGTGCCACCCGTGTCGCCATCGCCACCCATATTGTCGCCTCCGGCGTGCCCCCTATCGCCACCGCCACCACCAGGTTCCCTCAGGTACCTGTAGCGAAATGAAGCACTGCTTAAAAACGCACAACAGGAGAATCACAGGACGAACATGACTGAAAGCCGCGGATTCATTTTGCAACCACGACAATCATGCAGGTGGCAAACGCCATTCACAGACTCGGAATTAATTGCTGACGTCTAATCTAATTCACACCAGCAAGGCAGTAAGGTGCAGCATGTTTAGAAAAACTCACATCGTACTGTAAATATCTTCGAGATACGAGAAAATTTGCATAGAAAAATGGGTGATAACCTTTTTCCTTATAGGCTTAGGCACCGTTGTAAAACAATCATAGCCAAGTGCAGTACGTACAAGCAGTGCTCCTGAAGCTGTGTGCACACCGCACGGTACAAGGTTGTGTAGTCTAAACAGCACTCTGCTGCCTGAACAAACCAATGGTTACCCTTTAGCAAGATGCAGGATGGTACGCTTGACTGTTGGTAGGCTGGCCTTTCGCATTGCACGTTGCAGGATCATGTATGTGCTGCTGGATACCACCAGCTTCTTCCTTGTTGCCGATCGTATGGAACATAACAGTGTGAAATGGAAATTGTAATAGACTGCAGATGTGGGGTTAATACCTATGATGATGACTGCAACAACTAAGGTGGGGACTTATTTGTAACTCTGCTCTGGATTTAGAGCATGGGAGCAAACAAGCCGCAGTAATGTTTTATACAGCACTGTCCATACAGTGCAGTGTTGGAAAAATTGTCATCTCCTGGTGTAATGTATCCCAGGAAATTTTGTACTACAGGATTGTGACTAAGGTAAAAGGAAATATTTTGTACTCCACTATGATGAAAAACACAGGCTTTGGAAAAACTAATTTTTCCTCTGTTTCAGGCAAAATGAAATCAGAAGATGCAACAGCTTGAGACCTGCTGACTCCATCATGAGCCATATATTGATATCTGCAAGACCACAAATCCTGCATCCACCAGACTTGGAACAGGCTGTGCTGTGACCTAGCTATACAATAGATCATGCATGTGAATGTGGGAAATAAAGTGCGGGAATGATAAATGGAATCGTCTTTGAATGCCAGGAAGTGAAAAACTAGAAGAGAAATCGCACCGGTCTGCCAGTTAGCGAAGATCTCACTTTGTACGCCTTACTCAGCCCTTCTCAAAATTGAAAACCAATTCACCCCCTCAACGATGAACCGCACCGATGGCCAATGGTGCAGCGTACCGCGACAAACAACCGTAAACACAATACATTACCACGTACAACCACCTCACGCTCCGCCTCGATGTCCGCTCCTAATTCAGCGTCGCAAACGTCTCACTTATTCAGTGGCTTATGCTCACCTAGTTCAGGATGCAGCCTGGACATCGCAGAACTCTCCAATTGGTTGATAGGAAACGCCCTCTCGTGACTGATTTGTCAACAGCTTAAATTTTGTGCTCGCAACCGCGTCTTGAACAGATACCACAGCGTTACGAAGTAAGCTGTATAGAGATGGGCAAATGTAGAGTGGGCACTTCTTAGGGCTCTTGCAGAAAAATGGTACTTGTCCAGGAGCACCATATGGTTGGATTTCTTGGCACCTCCTGGTATCCGGAGTACAAAACTGTAAAGGTATCTGTACAGTTAAATTATGTTAATTTTGCCATTTAAGGGCATCAAATTAAAGCTGGTAATTTGAGCTTAACTAAGAAATCCTCTTAGGTCGAAAAATATTGATATAAATGAGAAAAAACCTGCTCGGAGACTGCCATCTCACTCCGGTAAAAACACCAGGAGAATTGAGAGGCATGAGTCCATTTCTTTGGCCTCGCAAGCTGAAATAACGCATCTATCAAGACAAAAACACAAATTAATTGAAACATACACTAATTTTGTTTGCAATGATGTCGGTTAAAGCGCACCGGAGGCCATCAATACCTTGTAATATCCGCCGGAGTCAGCGGAGTGCTAGGCTCGGAGGCCATTTCGCCGGCCCGGCGGGAGCGTCAGGCATTGTACTCGCGCTATGTTGGTAAACCGGTTAAGAGTATTGCCGTCTCTATTGGCTTGCTGAGGCCTGCGGACCCGCGTGGGTCGTAGAATCCGACGAAGGCGAAGTGGGGGACGGAGAGAAGTGGGGGCATCAATCCTTCACCTCATCTCACCACATAACTTCGATCTGGTTGCTTGACCAGATGTGATTTAAGGTGCGTACTTGATATTTGAGAGCCACGTGATGCTATGGGCGGTTTTTATTGCCAACGAGGCCATGCTTGTGTGTATGTCTTTGTTTCTTTGTGTCCACTCCCATGGAGAGAAAACCAAATTTCAGTAACAATGATGCTTCAAACGATCCACAATCTTAGAGGGAGGGGTGGTCCGAGTGGATAAGTATAGCCTTGTTCAGGGGCTTACTGTAAACATTGGAAGTGTGTTGGTACAATACATCACATGCGTGTGATGATAGTTTTCCCTTCCCCAGGACTACGTGAAGGCTTGCCCAATGACTAAGACTTGCTGGATGATGTGTTTAACAGCATGTCTCTAGGTACAGTCAAGGCCCTGTAACCACAGTACAGTTCTGGATGCATGAGAGTGCAGAGGAAGCAGGCCTTTTTCTTTCTGTTTATGACATCAATCATTGGAATATATCATGTTCTGTGTGTGGAAATTCATGCGCAGGAATACCATGAATATCTTAAGGAGGTACTCTGCTCAACTCAGACCTGAAAGTTACTTTGTTTTAGTTGTTATCATTGACTTGGCTGCTTATCGCTATTTCAGTCTCTGATTTTTGCATTCTCACAAAATGCAAGTTGTAATATATAAGAGCTACTGGCTCCGTGACCATAAAAACTACTTAAGGCCCTTCTCGCTGAAGTGAAGCATTCATGACATAAATTTAGGAGTCATTACATTAACCTGGTTTTAAATGTGCAGTAAATCAACATTTTTGTGCCAACACCTTGTTACAGACAGGCATTTGTAATCATTGGTTATAAGTATTATGCATATCACAAGTGCTTGTTTTATGTGTAATGCATGCTTTTGGTGTTCGGGGTGTGGTTTTCTCACTGGCATTGCTAAGCGTGATGGGAATGCTAGGTACTAAGCAAGAATGGTGATCCTGCATGTGCTGTGAAATTGCTGGAAGCTGGTGGAAGTTGGGGCACCATGCTGCTTCGCTGCCCTGCATGGTTCTGTGATGGTGTAAAGAATGCTTTTTCATCATCTGGCCACATTCTTGTGGACATAATTTTTTTTGTTGATTGGGTTATTCATGTCAAGCACTGTGAGTTTGCAAAAGCTCTTATGTCAGGTTGATGCTGAACTTGTGCAGCACAATGAACTAATAAGCTGAGACATGCTTGATTAATTATAACAAAAGCCAGTTGGCCACATACCAGGTGTAAAACTTTCATCTCACTCAGCAGTAAATCTGATGCATCCGTGTTGGAATCCCAGCATAAAATAACCATTCATTTGAGTGGTATTGGAATGGTGTGCTACTGGTAAAAGTATAAGTAAAAAGTGGAATAGTAAAAGTAAAAGTAAAATTGGCTGTGGTATAGCCATCAGGTTTCCACCTGTTTTCCACTAGCACAATGGTTTGTAGCGTGCCCACACACCTTGGAATAGTAATAGTTTGGTGATAGTTATCCAAACTGTTGTGTCCTAAATTTTGTGTATGTATTTGTTATGCATGATATCTGATAGTTGGCTTAGCTTGCTTACATGGTTGAGGTTGCTACAAGAATGGCAGATGGCTGCTGTTCTTAAATTACTTGTTGGTCCTCTGTTCAGTTTGAGGCAAGGGTATATCAACCTTTTGGCCAAGAAAAGTTGATGGGATCACAGCCCCCTCCACAGCTGCCTCACAAAACATGGCACACAAGTTTACCCTGCAATGTTGATGCTCATGCCTCCATGTCTTTGGCACTTCAACTAAGGGTCCCTCCAGTTCCGGCCGGGTTTCCCAGGGACCCATGCACGTAGCCAGAACTTCCCTCAGGAGAGGGGAAGATGTCAACTTTTGTCCGGACTCCCGCAAATTTGAACTGGATGGATGCAAAGTTGTTCCATATGTAGTGTAAGCCTCTTGGCTTGGGGATGGAGTGGGGGGCTAGCCCTCGTGACCCACGCCTTAGCTAGGTACCTGCGGCGACCGGGGGTTGGTGCGGCCTGGATGTCGTGCAGAAAGTTCCAAATACATCTACAAATAATGTACTCACATCGCTGGTACGATGTTACCGTTCTTCACGTAGCTCCATCACATGAGGCAAGCGCTCCAGCGCTTGCTTGTTTAATGGTCGGTGTTTTTTGCAGACAGAGTGGCGATAAATCCATGTTCATGTGTTCATTTGATCTTCCACATTGGGCTCGAGGGCACTCCAGGTTACATGCTACTGTGTGGTGCGGTGGCAAAATTGATAACGAGAATCACACTAACGTCCAAATAAAAGCGACTTCGCCGCCCCCCCCCCCCCCCCCGGCCCGCGTAATGTGTAATGCATTGTTTGTACATTCCCACGAAAGGTGTAATGCAGTGTTTGTACATTTTCACGTCATGTGTAATGCATTATTTGTACATTCCCACGTAATGTGTAATGCAGTGTTTGTACATTTCCACGTCATGTGTAATGCGGTGTTTGCACATTAGCATATAGCACGTTCCTGTTGTGGCCCAGCTGCTATCTGCCGCTGGCGGCCCGCCTGTTTGTGTGCCAAGCTGTTCCTGAGGGCCCACCTGCTGGCTACGTTCCGTGTACGTGTGTTGAACTGTCCGACGTACTTGTGTCGGCACGTTGTGGGTTTCGATGCCTTGCTTTCGTGAAGCGCGCTTCCTATGCAGAGATGCATGGTAAATACATGGCCATTACATTGTGCTAAGAGTCGATTGTCCACGAACGTGATTGTGGGTGGTTTTGAAGTTGTTCGAAAGCATAACGACTTTTCAGTTTGAGTCACTCATCCTCGATATTTCGGTATTCGTACTGGGAATACGGGGTGGCACTGACAGACTTTTATTGAGACGCTCGTAATTGACTGGCAGCTATTACCATCTTCCATCGAAAACAAAAGGTAGTAACCTGAGGTGTGAATCACACAAGGCAATACAGGAAAAGCAGTAGTCATCAAACACGGAACACGAGCATACCAGGCAAGTGATACAGGTCAAAATCTAGCAGCGCCAGGAGGAGCGCACGTGTCGGCACGACGGAGGCTGTACATTCGACAGACGTCGTCTCAGGCGGCGACTGAAAAGCGGCACAGGAAACCGACGGAGGTCGGGTGGCAGCACGATGAACTAGTTCGGATAAGGGCAGCAGAAGCGGCTCCAGCCCATCTCGCGAGGCCGGATAACATACAGCTGGCGGGTGGTCCGGTCCCGGGTCTCTGACACGGTATTAAGACGTCCCGCCAACTCAACTATCTCGCCGCAACGGCGCATCTCGTGCGCGAGATGCAGTGTGTGGTACACAGGTAGGGTCTCTGCGCCCAGCTACCCCAGTCTCGTAAGCAGATACGATGCATGGCCGTATTTCTGGGGCCGAACATTACATTCGCTGAGAAGTTCATAACTTTTTCGGCGAGACGGGTTGTTTTTGGTACTCCTACTATATGCTGGTATACAGAAGCGGGTCTGCGAGAAGACGGGGGCGCCGACCGGCTCGGAGGTGGTGGTACGTCTTAGCGCCATACGCCCTGTGAACAAAAGAACATCTCGTGGCAACCAGACAGATCAATGAAACTGGCACCAAGAAGATGAGGTAAACGGGTATTCTGAAACTGCTCAGAAGAGCCAAAGAAAAGACATTAGCAAGCATAGTGTGGGATCACTGGTAATAATGAGATGATGCCGTGCAACAACGGCATGGCTGATCATTACAGTGAAAGTGATGCAGGCTGGTGTGAATGTAATCACACCTTAAATATTACCCACTGGTTCTGGAGAGAATGTATGGCAAGCACAATCACAAATCACCAACATCTTAATGTCTTGGAAAGTTTGGATTGGCATACGGCGGCGACAAGTGATCATAGCACAGAAGTCTACCCGCAGGTCGTGGGCCTAGAAAATTGTCCGCCTCGATTGAACACGTGCCTTGCGTTCTGCAAGATCCGAAGGCCGTGTAAGATGCCAAACGAGCGGGCATCGCCCTTAACGCTTTTTTCTTCTTTTTGCTGCCGCCTACCGGTCGGTGTTCGGTGGTCATACCGGAGGCAATTATGTGTCTGCTGTGGTGTGCATCATGTCATTCACTGGGGT